CAAAACTCCACCTCCAAATTCTAGTTTCAAAACTTACCCATCTAGATAAATTACATCAAATTCTAAGCTTTTTTTCCATTTTAATTGCAGTTAATATATTTGGATGTGTAATGAAATGAAATAGCCTGTCAAGAAGATGCTATGGAAAGGATAAGTAAGGCTAGATAATTGTCAAATTTAAATGTGTATTCCCATTACATTGCATGAATTATCAAAACTCTTTTCCCCACAAAAAAACCCTCATCATTTGGAAAAATGTGCTTGCATGAATTATCTAATATACTGATTAAAGATGAAGTATTACTCTTTTGCACTTTTAAAAACTCGAATGGCATTTGCAACTACTGCATTATAACATATCCAACATGCTCTGGTACATATTTATGCTTTGTGTTTGACCAAGTGTGTGTCTTCAAGGTAGGCCCTATCTATCAAATTATCCTGAGGATGCTTGATATACATGTGCCAGGCAGGCTGGTCTTCCCAACTTCTCCTCCTCAACACTCCATGCCTTGTGCACACTCACAGCCCTGGTTCACATTGCCTATTCTCTACACCTACTTTTGTTGTTCCTTCCCCGAAGGACCATCATCATTCACCTGCTCCTTCCTACCTGGTCAGGATGCCACTCCATTCAGCATCTCCCTTCCTCAAAATGTTGCCAACATTGATTTTTCCTGGTTTTCAACAACAATTGCACTTATGCATGTGTCATATCATTCAACATTTAGTTCTGTTGTTTAATACAATGTTGTACATCACATGCATCCATCCTTTCAGAAGAGAAAGTCCTTGAGGACAGAGACTGGCTTACTCATTCCTTTACTGTGTCCCCAGACTGCCACCGCTCTGCCAAGGGAAGTACATGCTTGACAAAAACTCTAAATAGATGTTTTTCTTAACACAGAAATTTCTGATCTCTACCGCTTTCATATGCCCCTCTCAATAAAGGAGTTGAACTATTTTCACTACGTAGATAACTGAAGAATAAACAAAGGTCTTTCATGTTTCCAGATCTGCATTCGAAGAGTTAGGCTGTGGAAAGCTGAGTTTCAAGACTTCAAACTGAGTATTAAGCTGCAATTAGACTGTCAGCACTGAAAGGTTTGTCATGGTCTACCTTCAGGATAAAACAGTTTGTGGTCTACAACAGATATAAAACTTTCCTAACCCAGCTTTCAGATCTTTGGGACTCACTCCATTTATAGCACCATTTTTACTCTGTAGAATTTTGCAAAAACAGAAAAAAGGCAGAAATTATTACTTTCCACTCCCCAGTGTGACAGCAGAAGATCCAATAGGGAGAAAGGCCACGCAAGCTCAGGGACCTATTGAAGCCTAGGACTTTAAAAAGGGCTTTAGAATAGTCTGGCTGGACTCAGGACAAGATGGTTGGTGCCCCTGATTAGAGAACAGTGCCTTTCAGTAGTTTTGAGCACCATTTCCTTGCCCTTAATTTTCCTCATATTCTTCCCAACTCTGGCTATTACTGCCTTGTCCAGCTCCTTGCCCTGGAGCTCCTCACTCCACCTCCAAAGAGCTATCGTTCTGCTCCTTCCTGCTCCAGTAAAATGCAATTGCTTATCTTCTATCCTCTCAGGAGCATGCTAAGATCCTGAAATGAATGTAACAAATTTCATGAAAAACAATAATGGTTTGCAGGCCCAAATTATAAAATAGTGAGATTTTATATCAGAGACACTGGACATGTTCTCACAGCCCTAACTAGCTATGTGACCTTGAGCAAGTCACTGAATGTATTGAAGTTTCAGATAACTCATAGGTAAATAGGTACCATAAAGGAGCCTACTTTGTGGCCTTATGGTAAAGATGAAATAAAATTATGTGTGCTAAGTGCCTGGCACAGAGTGTTGCAATACTAAATGCATCGTCAGGATCAGTGTCAAAATGAATATTGTTCTCAGAGAAAATACTCAAAGTTAAACAGAGCGCTTCAATATATTTTCTTAAAGACGTCATTTATGATGAAGGACATCAGGCAACAAAACATGTTTCTTTTTCTTGGTAAAAAGGGACTTGGAATTCACCAAGATGGATTCAAAATGTAGCCACTCACTCTACCACACATGCATGATAAGAAGCAGCTGTTATCATCAGCACTTCCCTTTCAACCACTTTCTATGAGGAAGAAGAGCTGTCAAGTAAAAACCCTGCTTCTCTGCCTCCTAACACTGAACATAAGCACTAGCATGATTTCCTTCAGAAGCTTCCAGAGTTTAACATTATCACTCTAGGACTCTTCACAAAACTCCTTTGAGCTATAGATGATGCAGGTGTCAACATCTTTGTTTTGGGGGGGAAATGTGGAAAAAACCCAAAACTAAAATGGAGACCTATCCTTTAAAAACTGATGTAAGAAAAAGAGTACATGTGATCAGGGTTTTAGTCTTAAATTTGTCACTAACAGCAGTATTTTATTAAAATCAATTTCTATCAGTATACTTACTTCTCAAATATCCTCATCCATCAACCGCTTGCCTTACAACTACACGGGGCAGTTACAGGATTAAAATAAAGTGAGAATTGAAAGCATTTTGAAAAGGAAAAACCACTCTACAATTATAGGAACAATTATTTCTATCACAAACACCACAGCCAGAAGCCAAATTTGCATATCAACACTTCATTATTGGAGACATTGGTACATGAGCAGTTTTAAAAAGATTGTAATTTGAGTTTTCATGGTTTTTGCACTTTCTATGACTATCTTGTTTACTTGCTTTTATCTAAAAGGGAAAGTATGTCAAATCTGCTAAATTACTCAGCTTAATACTATTTTTGTTATTTGTTTCAGTGATGTTTGTGATGCCTGTGAGTCACATCACTGCTAATCTGCAATTACCCAGGCTGAGACCAGGTATCTGTTGAACACCTTTGATCCTAGGAAAGCAGAAGCAGAGCCAGGATGGGGAGAGGAAAGCAAATGCCAGCCAGTGCTGGAATCATGGAGAGAAATCATTCTACAGACAATGTGATTAACTTTTGCCTGAAGATGTTTCCCTCATGTTCTCAAATGTACTAGCTTACAAGAGTCACTTGTAGCTCTCTTGACTGGCATTCAATTAAAGGTTTATGTTTCCTAGAAATTCTGAGAAGTACAGTTAAATGTGGTCATGTAATCACTGATGGTATATTTGCATCTCAGGGTGCTCCCACATGTCATTTCCCACAAGTCCTAAAAGAAAATAAAAATTAAAAAAAAACCTAGAACCTCCCCACTCTTCAGAGGAGTATCTGAAGAGTTCACCACTAGACCTACACCTCTCTTTTTTTCTTTCCTTTTTGTCAAGTATCACAGAAGAGATTCATATTTCACTGGTGAGATAAACTTGAATTCCTATCTCATAGAAATGTAACCATGTCATACTAAACACTACTTTGGGGAAAAAAAATAAAGCAATGCAGAAGAACAGGTACAGAGGAGACAAATATTATAGCTCCTAAAAAATAGTCAGCTGCCACTTTAAGATGCTTAGATTTTCAAGTCAGATATACAAAAAATGCCGCTACAAAAATGTACTGCACGAAATCGTAGAAATTTTGTTTCTGTATTAAAAATAGATTTATAAGCATTGGCTCCATAGGAGATATTTTCACTTGAGAAAACTTAAAAGTCATCTGATACAAAAATACAAATATATTTAACACTTAAAGTAGGAGTAAACTGTTTTAGTGAAGATTCTAGCCTTAGAAAAAGAATTTATGAGGTTACTTTAAGAAGAATAAAAATTATTAATTGGAAACACACAAACTATTAAAATCCAGCTCAAATTTAAGGGCAGTTTAAATAAAGATAAAGTATCTAAAATTATAACTAAACCATTCAGTTTAGGTAATTCAATTTACAAAAATTTGTTTTGCATGACTTAGTAATTTAACTTTATACAAAGTGAGTCATGACAATAGAATTGTGAGATGATTTGCCTGGCCCCTGAACTAGGTTTTGGTCATTTAATCTCTTTAGGAGTACTAAGGACATCTGAAGTATCATTACCCTGTAGAGATGAGGCCATCAGTTTGCCCATCAGGCCCTGAGAGTGTCTGATCAGATAAGAATAAATTATAATGAACCACATGAAATCTGGAAAAGGGTTGCAGTCTGTGGTTTCTGCGTTATCAGAAGCTAGCCATAGTTTCTGTATTGTCAATTTTGTTTGTTTGGAGAAAGGAACTGAGGATCACAATGATACAGCAGGGGCAGCTTGAAGCAGATTTATGGTATATGGAAGGTGTTTCTTATTCAACCTGAAAAGTAGTAGCTTCTGACTCTGGAAGGTAGGAGGAGTCCTATTTTGATTACCCATCACTGCATGAAAAATTACTCTAAAATATGGTGGTTTAAACAACTCTATTTTATTTGCCTATGATTCTGTGGGTCAGAAACCCAGACCAGGCTCAGCTGAGAGTTGTCTCTTCCATATGGATTGACTAGGTTATCTTATAAAGTTATAGTCAGATGGTAGCTGGTTCTAGAACATGGTAAGTAGCTTTGCCCACATATGTGGTACCTTGGCAGGAACTGCAGTGAGGCTGGATGTTGCTTTGTTCACATGGATCTCTCTAATGGTTACATTGGTCTTTACATGGTAGCTGGATCTCAAGAGCAAGCATTTTAAGTGGCAAAGGTAGAATCTGCAGAACTCTTATGACTCTACCTCTATGGTACACAGCATCATCTCTACTATACTCTACTGCCCAAAACAAATCATAGGGCCAGCCCAAATCTAAGGAGTGGGAAAAACAGAGGAGGATTCCATCATCCTGATGGAATAAAGATACTGCAAAGTAGCATGTGGGATGGGATATATTGTGGTGGCTAACACAATCCACCAGAGATTTTAAAAGATTTTTTTTTTTTAGAAAATCACATGCGTCATTTCTTTCTCATAATTCTCAGTATGAACCTTGGAAAGCAGGCATACTTGGTATTACGTACTCTCAGAGTTAAAAGCAAACTGAAAAAAAATTTTGGCACTCACCTGGCGGAACTGTTCTAGGTCAATTTTGTTACCCACCAGCACCAAGGGAATTTCATAGGTGTGGCGGACTTGAAAAATGAGCTCTTTAAACTTGGCAGCTTCCTGGAATGACTGGCGGTCAGTGACAGAGTAGCAGATGATGAATCCCTCTCCACCTCGCATATACTGCTCCCGCATGGCTGTGAATTCTGCCTGTAGAAAAAGAACAAAATTGTTACAGAATTTAAGATAGTGAAGCCAACACATCAATAAAAGGTAAAAAGTAGATAAATTATCAGACCAAGTAGTTTGGGTAGAAATTTTTAAAAGTTATTTCTGGGGTTTGCATATAGAAAAGCAGTATGGGGTCTAAACATGAAATCTGAAAGCTTTAAAGTGCTCAGAGTGTTGATATTTAATCATAGAAAATTTGATTCAAGAGATCTTGGGGGGAGAGATTTTAAATAGCAGGTTAACTAATGAACTCTCAGGGATTATGCACATCCTTTTAATAGCTTTCTACTTAATGATCTCGTTTTAGGAAAGGGAATCTAATTTTGTGTACTCTGAACATTCAAACCTAGAGGAAATAATTTTCTCCTCAAAAAGATGAAAAGAAACACAAGTTTAACTTTGATTATCCTTGCGAATGGAGGAAGCTATTAGCACAGATAATCTAAGACTCAGTTTATGTGTTTGGGTTTTCTTAGATTTGTCTCCTGAGGGGCATCAACAAACGGAACTTGTGGGCTGAGTCATGGGTCCCTTTCCAAGTTCTGTTCACTCTTACATCCTCTTCTTTCTCTGCAGGGAGAAATATACTGCTGTCCCAACCTGGGAGACACTGCTGTATTAGTTTTTCATGTTGCAGCCCACCTGACCTACAATTTCCGGGCAACTCAAAATTCTGCATTTGGTCTGAGCTGCAATACAAAACATTCCTTTTAGTCTAAATATCGGTTTTCATTCACTGTTATTCTGCTGAATCCATGGTTAAAATCACAAGGGCTAGTTAGATACATGCAATGGGAAGTATAAAAATTAGATCCTGTCTGTGGAACAAGCCATATTCAACAGTAAAAGAACACAAGAATATATTGTGACTCGGAATGTTTGTGAAGTAAGTCCTCAAAGAAAGGAAGGATCCCATGATCTTGAGCTGTATTTGAAGACTTTGCAGAGATGGGAATTCTTCACCATTTATAAGAATTTATAAGAATATATAAATTTATAAGAATTTATAAGAATAGTGAAGTAAATTCTTCACTATTTATAAGAATTACTAAAATGCCTTTTTTAGAGTAATTGTTGAAATAAATGTTAATTTGATTTAACATGGCTTGACTTTTGAAGGGTAGGAGCATTTACATAGATCCAAAAATTTTGGGAAACTGAGGTGCTTATGAGTGTAGAGAGGGTAATAAAGTTAATAGGTCCTGAGTTAGTGGGTGAATCTTTTTGAATCAACATGGGTTGGGTACAAACAGTATCGCTGGGTTTAATCTATCATTAAAGTTTTAAGAACTTGACTGGTGGCCACTACAAATTAGTTTAAGGCAGCAATTTATAAAGTCAGGATATAGAATTTTACTTTATCTCTGGTGAGTTTTATATACTAGTTAAATTTTCTTATATTCAAATTGATTAAAATTATTTTAGAGTGGGGAAAAAAGAACAAATTAAAAAAGTTCTAAGAACTTGAGCCCAGAAAGGAAAAATAAAAGACTTATCCAAGGATTAACAGCCAGCTGATGTGGAATTAGTTTGAATAACTTATCTTCTCTGATTCGTACTATCACCATTTACTTAGTACTAAAGTTTATTTAAACTCAATTCTAAATTTCACCATATGAGTGTAATGCACTAACATAGGAGAAAAAAAATCCTTTGGGCCTGTTTCTTCATCTGTAAGATAAGGTTGACTTATAAAAGTTCTGGTGTCCCTCACAGTTCTGGCCTTCTCTAATTCTTTTTATTTTTTTTTAATGTTTATTTATTTTTGAGAGGGAGAGAGAGGCAGAGTGTGAATGAGGGAGGGAAAGAGAGAGACACTCACAAACACACACACACACACACACACACACACACACACACACACACACAGAATCCAAAGCAGGCTCCAGGCTCTGAACTGTCAGCACAAAGCCTAATGCGGGTCTCGAACCCATGAACCATGAGATCATGCCTTGAGCTGAAGTTGGTTGCCTAACTGACTGAGCCACCCAGGCACCACTGACATTCTCTAATTCTGATAATACTTTGCCTCAGTCAGAATCCCACAGTTGATGTGAATTGACTAGAGACCTATGGACTTAAATTGTTAAATGAGGTTTCTCCAACTTATAATTACATTTTTTAAATAGAAATGAACAATTACCATAGAAGTATACATGATATTTAAGGATTTATTACATCAGTGTATATGATCAAAACAACAAAAGTACAAACTAAACCAGAAGAAATTTATCTCACACTTTGCAGTTCATTGTATTTGCCAATTACTATCGTTAAGCATTAAAATTGTTTATTTTAATTGTCTGTTAAAAAATAACCCACACATTGCAAATATTCAAGAGGTACAGAAGTATATAAAATTTAATTTTCTTATCACAAACTCCCAGGTTTCTTTCCCAAATGCATGACAGCTAATAGTGTCTTTACCCTTACAGAAATAGTCTATGGACACATAAGCAAAGACCTCCACATTCCACCTTTACACACTTCCTATTCTCAAATGGGCTCATGGTATATATAATTTTTACTTTTAACCTTAATTAAGATTTAATATCCTTAATACACCTTGGAGATCATTCCATATAAGCACAGGTAAGTATTATTTGCCATGAATGTATCATAAATCCTTTAATGCATGTACCATAATTTATGTAACTAGTTGCCAATGAACAGGTATTTAGAGGCCTTCCTTTTATTCCTATTACCAACTATGCTGCAATATAGATTCTTAAACATCCATGTTGCACAGATGTATATCTGAGAAGTAGTATTGCTAGATGAGAGAGAGAACACATTTTACTTTTTAGAAATAGTACCAATCTCACCACTAAAGATGTCATACCAATAACTCTTTCCAACATTATGTAAAAGTACCTGTTTCTCCTCATTCTCACCAATGCCACTTATCAAATTTTTCTACCTTTGACAAATTTTAGGGTACAAAATAGAATCTTGTTTCTTTCATCTGTATTTGTATGAGAGTCTTATTGAGCATCTCCGAGGTTTTTTATCTATTTACAAATTCTCTTCTAGATAGGTTTTATTTTTTACTTTGAGTATTTTTTTTTTGTACATTTGGACTGGAGAAGGTTATTTCTATGTGAGACAAAAGAAAAAAAAACCAATACATTTGAGTACATTAACAATCACTACATCATAGAGGAAAGACTGATAAATTTGAATAAATCCAACAACCTATTAGACAGTCAAAGGACTGGAAAGTAAAATTCACAGAACAATATTGGATGAACGAGTGAGTGAATATCCAATTGTTCTGGTTAACTAGACTCAAAATCACATATATGTTATATTAATGGACCCACCAGTCCTCCCATCTGATGTGAATTGAAGTCTCTAGGTATGAGGTTATAGCATTAGTATTTTAAAGAGCTCCTTGTTTGATTTTGCTTTGCATCTAGATGTAGAGGTTTATAACTGTGTTTGTGTTCAAACTGGTCTATATAATGTGAGCACAGGACCTGGCAAGCACAGTACATACTTGCCTCCTAGGTCTGTTACTCAGAGTATGCTCTCTAACAAATCACCTAACCCCTCAGTGCCTCAATATCCTTGTCAAAAGGGATTAGGACACACACTTAACCCACCTTACTGGGCTGTAGAAAGGATCAAATGAAAGAACAAATGTGAAAATGCTTTGATCAATTTTTAAAATACAATACAAATTAAGCCTATGATTATCTCTGGTACAAATCCTGCAGAATAGAACCTTTCACTGGGAGAACAGTCATGAAATCCTCTTTTAGCTGCATTAAATATAAATGTGGAAGCATTTATCAAATATGCTTAATTGGAAAACTAAGGTGTGTTTTTTTTTTTCCAAAAAGGAGAATCTTTCCACCAATAAAACAGATATAATTAAGCTCTCCCAATGAACAAGGAGGATACTTTCCATTTAGCTGATCTTATCCATATGAACTCTTCATAGCATATATAGGTTTTACTTAAAGATGCACTGGAGGCTGGTGGGGAACAGAAAGTTGAGCAGAATCTTTACAGCTATTATCAACTTAATAATATATGATAACTGAAATCACTTTATAAAAAAATGCTATGTTCAACATGTTGCTTCCGTCTTTATTCACCCATGAATTAAAGATCTCTGTGCTTTATGTTCTGTGTATCCTGAATGTTAATATCTTCTTCATTTGCTTCTTGCTATAAATGAAACTTGTTGGTTAATTATTCAGGAGCATTACCAGATTCCATTTACTATCCATAACCAGCAAAATATCTATGAAACAGACCTACTATGTAAAATGCTGCAAACATAACCATTTCTAATATTTTCCAACTATCCTGAAGTTGTAGCTTCATCAGTTCCCCTTGATAGGTTTTCTTCTATTAAAATAGTGTGAGAATTCTCTTTATTCTGAACATGAAGTATTTTGATTAATCAAGCGCTTTCTAGCACAAAACACACATACCACGGTCTACACTGGTTGCCATACTCATGATAATGACATTTCCACGCCTAACTTATCTTTCTAGTACACAAAAAGTAAATGAAAAAAATAAATCATTCACGCAGCTGACACTATGCCAAATGGTCAGATACATAAACTAACAAAAAAACTTATGGCCCTGTCCAGGCTGGGGAAACAACACTAGGCCAGGAGAAAACAGATGAAGAACAATTAAGGACTACATGAACCATGGAGATTTAGAGAAAGGCAAGGGCAGTTTGCAGGAGGAGGGCAAAGAAGGATTGGTGGAAAAAATGAGATGGGTTAGTTTTTTCTTAAAGTTGTCAACTGTAAAGGGCTCCTCAGCTTTCACGCAACTCTACTTCCAAAGATTATGTACTGTTACCCTTAAATAACTTTTCATGATCCAAATTCAGCATTTGCATGGCACTTAAACATCAAATGCCTGCATACCAGTCCACAATTCAGTTTTTGGAGGCTGTCGGAGGAGCAAAGTGTTTGTTGTTGCTTTTGTTTGTATTTTTAGAGAAGGAA